TTTTATAAGAAAACAACCGGCTGAACTGCTAGGGATGGTGCTGAGAGCATCCACCACTAGCAGCCCAGCTACTGGCTCCATTCTATTGGTGGGGAGCTACACTTGCTGGAAATCGGGTCCAGCGTCCCTTAATACATATAAGTCTGTTACATAACTTTGAATAAAGTATCAAGAAAATGAAATCTACCTCTTCAGCCAAACCTTAGGCCGCCAGATACTTGTATTGAAACTAGCAGACCTATCTCCTGACTTTACTTACTAGTGAAAAGTAGAACTTACAAAAAACATCAGAAAATGAGATCTTGAATCTCTCCAAGATATCATCATACTGATAGATATCTAGAGATCGAACCTGAAGAGAACTCATATTTTGTATGGGATTTAACCTTATTGCATGGCATACCATTGCAAATCAACTAAAGCCAATTCTGAGGGAAGGAAGGGATCAGAAAAGCATTCCGGTGATCTGAGTGAGGCTCCTGGTGGAAGTGAAATGGTGAAGGGTGTCCTGAAGTGGTGATGAAAAATACGACTGTTGTTAACCATCTCTCAAACTGCTGCCCCAAAGGAAAGAGAAGACAAACATTCAGGCAGACAGGTTGAAGAAGCAGAGGGTCTCTATTTTATAAAGTGCTCCGGTTATGATGATTATGCTTGGGATGACGGTCTAGAAGGTTCTAGATGGATTGGGCGATGACAAATCTAAAAACCGTAAAAACTTGAATTCTTAAATTTATTAAATTCTTAAGATTCTTCGAATTCTAAAATTATGAAGTACAAGCATGTATTTGAATTTCAAAGGTATTCCTTTAACCATTCAAATGGCCATTTCATCAAAACGGAGATTCTTTTTACAATGACCCAGTGACAAATGTTGAAAACACCAGTCACTCCAGAGTCCAGACACATCCAAGGGGGTCCGGGGCTCTGAGAATGCCGGACCCTCAGGCAAGAATTTGGTGAAACTTTTAGAGGCAAATTACTAAATTAGTAAGGTGCTGCGAGGAATGAGCCTTGCGGAACCCTTATCAGAGATACAAGTGTTCTGGGCTGTGGCCCCAGCAAGCCTGAGCCCGCCCTAAGTGAAGGCGGGCCTGAATATCCATGTGAGGCCTGTTTTTGACATTTTTCTATATGTGGGTACTCAGACAGTTGCAGCACGGCAGTTGGTTACAGAGCAATGTGAGCCTCCAGGCTCTTTCCAGAAGCAAAGGGCTGCGCTGTACAGTTGAGCCCAGGGCTCAGGTGGTTGTGCCCTGGGCACACGCTGTGTGAGGCCGACACATCATGGACTGGTTGCGGAGCCAATGAGGAAGCAGCATTGTCGTCACAGATGTGCCACGAACCAATGAGAATGCTGCAAACACTTGGGAGGCTGTGTGGCTGCCTGGACGTGCCTAACTGCGCATTGCCCTGGCCAGTATCTGAAACTGGGCCTCGGCGCAGAAACTTGGGGCCAGAGGCAAGCTACTGGGCCCCCACACGCCTGGCCAGACCAGCCAGCAGCGGACACACTTTCCATAAAGGAAAGTGTGCCCTCCCTGGGCAGGCATTCGGGCCTTGGCAGGCAATGCGGACACGCTGCTGCRTTGCTGCGCTAGTGTCTGCATGGGCGCTGTGGGTCGGACGCGCGCACGGGCACTGAGGTGAGAGGGGCGCTGCGAGGCAGCGGGCGCACAGCAGCCATAGCCGGGCTGCAGGGGCGTAATGCAGGTGATGGCTATGGTGGCGCATGAGGAGGTGATCAAGTGGTGATGAGGGGAGGAGAGAGAACGTACCCGGTGTATGCTGGTGGTCGGCATTGGTGTTGACGTCACGTACATTGGTCTTCGACTTTGGTGTGATCCAGTCGCTTGAACGTAGATAGGCTAGATAGGCTGAGTAGAGTATGCTGGGCGCTGAGCGCCAGACAGTAGGAGGGACATTGGATACAGTGTTGATGTGACCAGGAGTGTTGGCATTGGCACTTGAGTTCTTTGTATTGCTCTTATTTGGATGGAATCTTGGTGCATTGTGCTCTCTGCTTGGTATACGACTATCTGAACTACTTCGTGATTTTGCAACTTGGTTTTCTGTCTATCCTTCTCACCTCTCACTCATATTCCTTGCAGTGCAATTTCATTCATTTAATTTCATTACATGAAAATCTTCATTTTTTACCAAGTGGCTGTTTTCCCCTTTTGTTGCACATTTTGGAACTTGTTTTTTATTTTTTTCTCCTTTGAATTTTTTCCCTTTTGTTTTTGGAAGTTTAGAATTTGCAGTTTCGGAATGCGATCTCAGACTGGCATTGCCTCAAATACGTGTTTTATTCTTTATCCCACTATAATTTCGATTTGTTTCTGGTTTCAAGCCTCACATCATTAGTGGCCATGATTGGAACTGTAGTACGTACCATGCATATGACTGCTCAAGTAAGAAGACAAGATGTTTTTCAACAAACAATGACCAATTTTCAAAAGACTATCTACACAGCATATTGCAGTTGTATAAGTTGACTTATCTCTAAACAACCCAAAGCGGTAAGGCGACAATCATCAACATCGTCTATCGGTCGAGTACCAGTCAGCGAACATCCACAATCTTTAGAAGTCAAGTCAAAGAATTATACATCCATTCATAGGCACAGAAGAAATAGGGACTAGATCGCAGTACAACTAAGATACTGAGATAGGAGGATAAGAAAAGGAAAAAGAAGGAAAAGAAGAAGAGAGGAAGAAAGAGAAGAAGAAAGAGAGGAAAGGTGAATGCATGATATTGTAATGACCCGCCAAAGCACAGATGGAGAACGCTGCTGATTTCTGGGATTTGCTGCTGGAATGTATGCCTCGCTGAGATTCTCGCATTCTGCTGTGATTTCTAAGTCTGTGTGTGTGAGTGCCTGTCTGACAGTCTGAGTGCTTGTCGGCTTAAGTGTGTGTGTGACACGCAAGGGTACTTGCCGGTTTGGAGGCCTCGCAGGGCCGGTACTTACCCGTGGCTGTGACTTTGAAGGTTGCGGCGGGAAAAACACTCAAGTAGCGGGGGTAGGCCCGCAACACTTAGAGCAGCGGGAAAAGCACTCAAGTAGCAGGTAGGCCGGTACCACTCAAGTAGTGGTAGAAGTGTCGGGTACTTGAGGCCGAGCAGAAGAAGATAAAAAGTTGGCATTTTTAGAGGCCCAGTAGCGGTAGGCTAGAGGTAGACCGGTACCAGTCCAAGTAGCCTGAGTCTAGGGCCTGTACGGACGATATCAGGGCCTGCAATGATGTTTCCCTCCGAAAGGGAGGAGGTACCGGTTGCTGGGAGGCCGCTCGGCCTAGGAAGTCACTGCCCAAGAGGCCAGTAGGCCGCTATATCTTCCGGAGGAGCAAGCAGCTCCTCCTCATTTGCGGTATGCAAGGATTGTCGACATGCTGCTGGAGCCAAGCGCTGGACTTGGAGCGCTGCCTGGAGGAAGGAGAGCAGCTGGGCGCTCAGCCTGGCTATGGCGAGCAGCCCAGCCTGAGGAGGAGGAAGAAGGGGCCGAAGGAGAAGAGTGGCGAGGTACCTACCTGGCTATGGTGGACACCATCTTCATCATTTGATTGGCGCTGCATCTGGAAGGCCCCAGTTGGGGTAGTGCCGCACCAATGGAGCTCTAGGCAGAGTCAGGCATGGCGGCCTGATGAGCAGCGACATAGCTGTTTTGTGTTGTCCTCTGCACAAGAGGGCAGAGCCCTTAGTAGTCCGCCATAGCCTTGGCATGTGAGAGGAGGAAGAAGGGGGAAGCCATGGCTATGGTGGACCTATTGTTGTGCTAGTAGTAAGAGGGAACTTTGGATGTTGATTCTGATTCATCCACTCATTGTTATTATTATTATTCGGAAGAAGAATAAGATTGGCGAAGTCAAGGAGGAGGAGGAAGGTGGAGAGAGAAGGGGGATTTGTCATTGGTCTTGCTGGTGTACATCTTCTTCTTCTTCTTCTTCTTCTTCTTCTTCTTCTTCTTCGTCGTCATCGTCGTCGTCTTTCTCTCTTCTTTGGTCTCCATCTCTTTGCAAGTGCTTTCATTTCTTTCACCAATTGGGTGGCATTGTCTTTCATTGTGAATTTGCACTTTGGGAATGACCAGGATCGTAACAATTTCGTAAAATGGTTCTCCCTAATGCGGTGTTTCTTTGAAAGATAAAACACGAAAGGCTCGGCGGCGTGGAACCAGCATGGACAAAAATGATTCACCATTCTTTAAAAAAAATGAAATCCTTGGTCCGGCAATTTTGAGGCGTCAGGCCTCCGCAGGCCTCCACTGGGGGCCACCCAGAAAAATTAGGCTCTGCCCTATGTGAAGGCCCACAGCAGGAAAAGAGTTGGGCAGCTCTGAGTGAAGGCTGGTGTGGGACAGTTGGGAATGAGTGCTGGGTGCAACCTCTCCAACCAACCGGTAGGCTCAGCCTCCAGGTTAGCTGCAGAGGCTGGGCCCCTGGTACTCAATCTGGGAAGAGCCAACTCCACTCCCAGTCCAGTCAACCACAGGCTCCAGGAAGTAACGAAAGGGAGGAGATCACATCATTCCACACATTCGGAGGCACTGGCTGCCATCACTAGCTCTGTACAGAGCACACACCGCCAGGCCAGTGCTCATTCAAGAAGAAGGGTGAGGAGCAGCCACGCCATAGCAGCTCAGCTCAGCTGCAGCCATAGCTGCGGTGAGGCGCAAGAAGGGTGGCCCTGGGGCTGGGGTGACAAGGGGAGAAGCAGACGTACCTACCTGGCGATGGCCGAAGAGTACACTCATGGTGGTCAGACGCTGCCGCATTGTTATGTGAGAGGAGAGAAGACAGAAAGAAAGAGAGTGAGAGAGAGAGAAGTAGGATGTGTATAGAGAGTCAGTAGGAGAGTAGTATAGGCGGTCACATCCTAGCAGAACTGCTACATTCTGGTCCTATTGATGAGTGGAGGCATGAAGTTGGCGTTTGTTGGTCAAGAAACTTCATGTCAGTTGTTTTATCATTTGGTGTGTGCTCTCTGCTGTGTAATTCTAATTTGACTGAACATTTTGGCATCTCGTTTGATGAGAAATGCTATTGAGTCCAAAAACTTTTGATCTTGAATTCGTGATAACAAGGCGCCGCTTATACACTGAGCTTCGCCCTTCACTAACCATTTTGTGTTTTTCCAATTTCGTACTTTGCGCAATGCTTTATGAGGCCAGTAGAAGAGGGCAATTCATAGATAGCATCCACAATCATTTCAATGACTTGGCTAATGATGTATCTTTCTTCCAAACTCAGCGCTGACCAATGTTGAGTTTTCATAAGTTGAATGATTTTCTACGTCGCTCATAATGTGCTTGTTCTGCTTTGAGCTTTTTTTTGCTGCTTGGAAAATTGGTGTTTGCATTGATTGGTTCCTTGCGCGATTCTTATTTTTGTTTTTATTACTTTCAAAGTTTCAATCTTTCATAATTTCCAATTGGACCATCATTTTACAGCAATTGAATTGGGACTCTTTTTGAGATCAAATTCATTTCCTTTTTTGGATGAAATTTACTGTCTTTCCTCTTCAGGCACTGGATACACTGAGCAAGAATGACATATCTGAATTGAAAGGGATGAAGAGTCCACCTGCGCCTATCAAGCTCATTATGGAAGCTGTATGCATCATGAAGGGCATTAAACCCACTCGCGGAAAAGACCCCTCTGGATTTGGCAAGGTAACCACCCAGGAAAAAAAAAAAAAAAAAAAATAATGTCCAGGCAATCCCTTCCTTCACTGCCCACGAATGTTTAAAAAAAAAAAAAAAAACGAAAAAGATTTAAAAGAAAAAGTAGCAACGTAGCACGTCATGCGAGGTAGCACAAGACCACAATGCAAGGTTCACACAGTGAACAGCACATTCACACGACAAGAAAAGCCCGGAGCGGAGATGGCAAGATGAAAAATCCGAACTTCGGCACTTCTGTCAGAACCGAGGCAATTAACACTCTGTTTGTAAAAAGTTACTAAAAACCTAAAAGGAGAGTAGCCGACAACAAAAAGCAGGCTGAAGTCTGGCGTCCCCGACGCCGCGTTTTGCCCGGTGCCAGAGCCGGGAACTCATCAGGGGGATCTGAGCTCGGTATGAGAGGAGTTGCTCATCCCCTCCAACTTCCAACCGATATATAGTTCTTGTTGTTACATTTCCCTTCCCTACTTGTCCCAACACTAGAGTTCCAGTATGCCCTAGAGTACCATCAGTACCGAGTTCCACTACAGCTAATGGCTATCTGTAGTCCGAAAAGACAATAGTACCGACTAAAACACTACAGTCTTCCCCCAAATACAACGTACGGTCATTATAGCTGAATTTCGACTGAAAGATACACCGAATTCAGCTATAATGACTGTACGTTGTATTCGGGGGATGACTGTGGCAATGAACCCAGACTGGAAGATACTCATCAGACGTCGAAGTACAAGTAGTCTCAGATCTGCACAAAGTCTCCAGTTAACGTGAAGTGATATCTGATACAATATCTTGTTACCAATAGACGAAGAGAGTGGAGGGAGAATAGTCAGAGGAGACGGTGGAAGAGAGAAACAGAAACCACACAAGAGTAGCCCAATCAATACCCACTCCTTCTCCGGGCTTCCCCTCGCCTCCACATCATCAATCAAAATATAGTAAAAAGACTGATAAGTCTCGATCACATAGAAGTGCCATGTGTCACTCTTCTCCCATGGAGACAATGAAGACAATCTGCAGCGTACAATATCGATGCCAGCCTCAGGTCAGTATCCCATTCCTCAATCATCGACAGATCCCGATCTCCCTCCTTATCGCAACCAGTCACCTCATGTAGACAGTGTGGCCAATGCCACGTCAGCAGTAGAGACAGGTGGCATGCGCCACATCAATAATGAAGACAGGTGGCAGCGCCACATCAGCAATGTGGACAAGTGGCATGCGCCACATCAACAACATAGACAGGTGGCAGCACCACATCAGCAAGATAGACAGGTGGCAGCGCCACGTTAGCAATGCCTGGCGCACAGAGCAGAAGGCGCCAGCATGTTACCACAGTCCTGCGTCGTCGTCCACAGTACTAGCGCACAGCCAGCGTCCAGCAGCGTCGAGCCAGCGTCAAGCCAGCGACCAGCCAGAGTCAAGCCAGCGTCGAGGCAGAATCGCAAGACTGAATGTTGACCACCTGGAGACCAAGCCTTATGTAGCATTTGACGAGGCTGTCTGGTCTCAGGTCCCCCACCCACAGTCATACAGATTGACTCACAGCCAAGGGCCTGGATTGCATACAGTTGCAGACCTCCCTTTGGTCCTGATGCTGTCTGGGTACCTGCATACAAACAAGTGTGTGCATCTGACTGGCGGCCTGGGCTGGGTACACTTTGATTTTGACTGTTGGCATCCGACAGTTGCCTTTAGTCGACAGTTACTCGTTCAGGCCCGGAATCTCTACGTGGGGCTTTCCCCCCCTTCAGCATGGGTCTGAATGCGGCCTGGCAAGGCCCTCAGGCATTCCACGAGGCATACTGCATGGGTTATTGCACTGTAGTCCTGTCTGAAAAATGAACAGAGTCCAAAAATCCACGAAGTAACAAAACAATGCCAAAAACAACTATAAGACTCAACAAGCTGGACTACCAACCAGATCGCGCAGGAGGGGAGGCTGCTCGTATCACATTCCCTAGTGACACTGTTCGGGCTTTTCTGTTTTTTTTTTTAAACAAAAAAAAAAGGAGCGACAATGGTAGAATGTCAAAAAATCGAAGGGTATCATACAAAAATAGGATGCCTCGCCAAGACCCAGAATGCCTTGTCTTAGAGGCCCAATTTGTCCATGCTAACCCGCCACTCCGGGGTGGACCTCCTCACAAAATTGTGCAGGCCCCCGCTTAAAAATTCCTCCGGGAATCTCTGCCTCCTCATTTCGCGCTTCAGCGAGAGGAGGCACTCCCCAATTCGTCCCTCTTCGTTGGTACAATTGTGGATCCTGTGCAGCATTTCATGGATATCGAGCCTCTTCTGATGATGGCAGACAAAAGATTCGAAGCCCTGGAATCTGCGAATTTTCATTTCACCCTCCTCTGACCAAATTTCTCCCAGGTTATTTGGCTTGTACCGACACTTCACACGCTTCTCCGCATTCGAGATTTCCACACGACACCCAAGAAAGGACAAGCCTGGCCACGGGTGGCCGTCACGGCAGTCGAGGACCTTGAGCACGCGCCTCTTTCGGCGGGCCCGTTCGGGTTCCTGCGTGTTCGGGATGCTGGCGAAATTCCTCTATCCTGCCCGGACAAGATTAACAAGGTGCCAGCTCTTGATAGTAGTTTTGAGTAGGAATCTAGTTGGTCGGGGCCTATCCGTGATCAAGAAGGCAGATCCGTGATCAAGAAGGCAGATGAGCTACCTAGTTCACCCGAGTAAAACGTACGGTCATGACACTGGTATCTGGACTGAATGTGGTCCAAGTTCAGCTATAATGATTGTACGCTTTGTTCGGGTGAAGAAGGTAGGTTGGATGCGGGAGTGTGGCAAGCCCCTCGACAAGTCCTGGTGCGAAACCATGTGAAATGTGCGTCGGGGAATGTGTGTGCATTCAGCATGTATGCCCGTGTGGATGTTGTCTTGGCTTTCTTATGCATTCGTGTTTCCAACACTGGTAACACACATATTTCAACTGACTGGGAGCTGTCTGCAAGGAATATGAGTGTGAACGATATACAGAAAACCAAGTTGTGAAATCACACAGATGTCCAGGAAGTCATGTCCAAGCAGAGAGTACAAAATGCACTGAGAAACCATCCATGTAGAGCAATACAATGAAGTAATGAGTCAGTGATCAAGCCCGTAGGCCACACCAACACAGTATTCAAAGTCGCTCCTCTCCTGTCTGGCGCCCAGCGCCCAGCCTACTCTGCCCGACTATCCTACCTACAGCTGGTTCACGCAACAGGCTCACTTCAACTCTTGAAGACCAATGTACATGACTGTCAACACCATAGCCGACCTCTCTTCATGCACCAGGTACCTATCTCGTCACCCTCAATCAGACCTTGATTACCCCACACTGCGCCTCCTTCCCTGAAGACCACCAGATCACCCGCTGTACCCCCTGGCGCCCAGCAGCCCGGCTATGGCCGCCTGCGCCCCACTGCCCTGCAGCGCCCCACTTCACCACTTCGCGGCCCGTCAGCGCCCTTGGCAGCAGCGCAGCATCAAGCAAAAGCGCAGCCGCACTTCCGCATTGCCAGCACTGGCCACAATGCCTGACCTGGGCTGCCTCACTTCTCTTATGGAAGTGGCAGCCTCCTGGATGCTGCGTGTGGCCTGGCTGGAAGCTTCCAGTAGCTTCCGGTTGGGCCTCAGACCCTGCGCCCAGGCCCGAGACTACAGTTGAGGGCCTGGGCCCTTTTCAGTTGGGCACGACCTGAGTTTCCGGACTTGGGCTGTTTGCTGCATCTGTGCAGGGCTCCCAGGCAGGTGCGCTGGCAGTACTGCTTTTGCAAGGCCAATGGCCTGCTTCCCAATGTATCGGCCCTGCTTTGTGTGTATGTGCCCAGGCGCAACTGTCAAGGCCTGGGCCAACTGTATGACACAGCTTTGTGAGGCTCACGCGTCTACCCAACCAACTGGCGTGCTGCGAGAGCCTGAATACCCACATATGGAAATGTCGAATTTTGCCTCTGACAAATATTCAGGCCCGCCTTCACTTAGGGCGGGCACTCAGCTTGCTGGGGCCTTAGCCCAGATCATGTGATGTCTGATAGGGCCCCTTGAGGGCTTGTTCCTCACATGTCCCCCTTGGCTTGTAGTAACAGAGCAGGTGTGCACTACCTTAGTACCACCCTTGCTCCCTCATGTGTGCACCTACATGTGCTATAATCCGTGTGCATCACGTCTATCGGTTGCCAGAGTGGACCAACTCTTCCCTGTACAGGTGCGATGTAGGCACGTGGGGCCTATTTCCTAGTCTCTGCTCCTGACCTGTTAGTAGTTTACCGCTCGCGCCAGGTCGTAGACAGTCCCAGTCAGGGTACCGGGTGCTATTCACCCGGTATTCTCACTGGCGTTCTATATCCCGCCTTCCTGAACATGTCCGCTCTCTAACTAATTTACAGTCTTCTACAATCTATTTAGTTCCCATCCTTTTCACACCTGGTAATACATACCCTGGCTTACGCTTTTTTACTTTTATTTTTTTAAATGCCCCCTCTGGTGCTAGTGGTGCTGGTAAGAGCAGAGACCACTAGCACCGGGGAGCGCCTCCATCTATTGGTGGGGAGCTTCACCTGCTGGAAAATGGGTCCAGCATCCCATATACAGAATGAGTTGCAGAATGAATTGCAGAATGAATTGGGAGGATATCAAGAAAAGAAAGTCTGAGAGACGCCCGCCAGCATGGCTTACGCTACTCAACCTGGACCCTAATTTACAGCCCGGTTCAGGTTACCTGAGGCAGGGATTTTTCTAAGTCTCCGTGTAACTTCAGGCACGGTATCTTCAGCGGCCTACACCCATTTTTTTCCCATTTCATCTCAACCTCTCACTTCTTAAATCTCTGCAATGCTATGGTACAGCCCGGTCTTCCTCGGGCTCTACATCTGCTCACCCCCTATTCATGACCCTATCACTTCTTGCATCTTTATCCTGCTATGGTACACCCCGGTTTTCCCGGTCTCTAGGCGACTATCCTGCTGTCGTTCACTCAGCGGATGTCCTCACCTCTCCAGCACTCCAATACTAGGGTATATGTCTAGTACCCATATCCTTATCTAGTAACCTGCCTACTCACTCTCAAATTACTGCTCCGCGTACATGTAACCAGTTGTTCGGTCAATGTCTGTAACGCTGCACCGAACGAACCGGTGGCACTGGCAAACATCGCCAGAGCGTCGGAGAAGAGCGCCGGGGGGTAAACCCGACGCTTGAGCTCGATGCTGATGGCCATCGTCGCAGGGACTGCTGCTGCACGACCGGTAGCATGATGCCGGATCCTGTGAATAATTGCTGTCACTGTCCCAACCTTCTCTCTCTTATCAGAATAAGAACAGTAGTCTTGAAAACATCTGAAGAGCATGGGTTTATCGAAGTCACCACCTTCATTCTTGTGTCTGAGTCACACCACGAAACTGATGGGGCCTGGTAACGCTGAAGCTCTGGTTCCTAGGAAGTCCCAGGAGTTCGAGTCATCGTCCGTACGAACCAATATGAGCTTCTCCCCATATGCTCCTGTAAACTTCTGTCGAATGTGCTTAGCTACTGCAACACTGCTCAGGTCAGCCATATCACATGCAACAGCCAATGTGACATCATGTACCAACCTGACCCCCCAGCCGTTGGTCCACCCCGAGTGTACTGAGGAAATCTACTTCATACTTAGCGCATAGAATGCAGGCCAGCAACAGGCTGGAATTCTTTCCCATAGGTATGCCCACACATTGTCTGAGGATCATTGCTCTACACGTGATGAAGGTGTTTTCCATCTCAAAGTTAACCATGTATCTAATCTGGGAAAATCTAACACAGACATACCCTGGCCCTCGGCTTTTCCGGTTGAGGACTACAACACGACCCCGTCTGCTAAGGCTCATCTTGTAAACACCTTTCTTTTCCCATTGCTGCAGCAGCCAATCTCCACAGCTTGGGAAACAGCCCGGTGTGGGAGCGACGTGAACATCTCCTTTATGTCGTAGCTCGCCATCAGGGCGATTGATCTCTCTCCATAAACTCTCAGTTGGTGTCCCGCCTTCTCCAGGTTTCCTTTCAGTAATGTTGTAAATTTGAGATTGAAATGTCTGGCATAGGGAAGTCTCTCAAGCAGGTAGTTCAGCGCTCTTGCTAGCCGCCTCCCAGCAGTCTTGGTATCCTCCGTACAGGCTGGCACAATGGGTCTCCATCGTGTCAGGTACACGACATTGTGGCGGCTCTTATGCCGTGGCGGCTCTCATGCCGCCACGATGTGCACGGAATCCTCAAGCACTTATGTGCAGCTTGTATTGAAGGACAAGAGGGGAGTGTGCGCTGAATCGTCAAACTCTTATGTGCAGCTTATATTGACTGCATGGAGTGTGTGAATTTGAATTCATGTGTGTGAGTTCCTCTCTCTCTCTCTCTCTCTCTCTCCCCCCCTCTCTCTCTCTCTC